GAAAACAGTATTAGCCATGAGTTGAAAATGCGGAATTTGGGAGACAGGAGTTTATTATAAATGCATTCTGTACATTGGTATATGTTTGAAATTATCCCTAATGAAAAAAAATTTAGCATCTATCTTATTAAGGTATTTGTCCTTTGAACAAGCATGTTGAAATCAAATTGTATGCTAGGTATGAGGGAGATAAAAATAAATGAGTGTCCTCAGGCCAGAATTCTTATCGTTATTTCACATTTGCTTTTTTTTTTTTTAAGATCCTATTGATTATAAAATACACAATTGTTTGAATTGCAGCTTTTGAATTCTCCTGACTTGAAGGTCAAAGCTCACTTGGGCTGGGGGAGAAGAAAAAAAGTCTGCCTTATTAAAGTTATAGTGATTTTAAGATACATTCCCATTTCAGACTATCCAAACTGTACACCTTAAAATCAAGGGAGAACAGTAACTCTAATTTTCTCTTATGTTTGTAGTAATTATATAGTTGAAAAACCTGAGGTTTTCCTAAAAGAAAATATTGTGTTCAATGTAATGATGTTTTTTGAACTTTCCATACCATTTCCTGTCAGTGTGTCAGAATCCGGCCTCCACATTGAAATAGGTTAATCTGGTCTTATCACCAGCAAACATGCCTCAGTCCTCTGGAAGGTGGTACTGACACAAGAAGTAACCATAGGTATACTCTTTAGAAATGATATATGCAGCTGTTTGAAAAAATACTTCCAAAGATTCAAGGTGAATTCAACAGTGTGAGACCAAAAAAGTTTTCTCCAACCCGGGACTGGGGCTTTCAGCCAGAAAGAACTGGGTTGAAACCTGGTTGTATCAGTCACTGACTGGGTGACCTTGGATGTATTTCTTAACATCTCTGAGCCTCACATGCTCCCCGGGGCAAAATGTCTGCAGAGACCTACCGTTGAGTATTCTGAGACTTAAATAAAATAACAAACTTCATAAATGCACCCAATGCAGTGTTAGGGGATAGTAGAATCTCAAATTCTTACCATTTTTCTGGAACCTAAGTTAGATTTCATCAGCACATGCTCAGCCCATTTCATCAGCCCAATCTTTTGACTGGTTCCTTCGGTTAACCAGCCATTCTGCAAGATGAATATTTGGTAAGTTCATTGCCAAAGAATTGAGTTTGGGTGATAGCTTCATCACTTGGGCTGCCATAACAAAATACCACAACGTGGGGTGGCTTAAACAACAAACACTTCTTGCAGTTCTGGAGGCTGTGACATCCAAGATCGATGAGCCTGCAGATTCAGTTTCTGGTGAGAGCTGTTTCCTGGATTGCGGGCGCCATCCTTTTTCTGTCCATAAGGGCATTGCTCCTATCATTAACCACACTCACAATGCCTAACCTAGCCCTAGTCACCTTCCAATACCTGCCTGCAAATATCATCACAATGGATTGGAGAGTCAACATATGAACACAGGGGGACTCTGAGCAGGTGAGTTGGCTGCTTGCACACTGACTTGGAACTGCTGACACTGAGCCTGTACCACTTTCTTAAGATTTTCTCCATATCTGACTCATGCTCAGCAAATAAGTTCCTCTGGGATGACATGACCTTGATCAGGAATGCTGCAGAAATTGTGTCTAGGAATCTAGCAATTAGTAAGCGCTCATCAAATAAGGATTGAATGACTGTGACTGAAGGCCCCTCCCCCAGAGTCTCCATATGGGGCTATACTTCTGCTCCATCAATGCCAATGCTGTGGGATTGCTCTTTTTCTAGTATGTTTAGAAAACCTCCTTACATCATATTATTAGTATTGCTTCTCTCCATTCTGGCAGAGCAGTCTTAGATCCATTTCAGATCTAGGAGGAGTGTTTACCCCCTTCCCCATGTCCTCCGTGCTGGGAACCAGGCAGCACTGGGGCGCCTAGGCAGAGAATCCAGAGAGCTTCTGGCTTGTCCTTGTCTACATGCAGCCAGGGGCTCTGCTGGGGACTCCAGGAGGCAGCTCCTCAAGATCAGCCTCAGTTGACAGCGGCCATCCAGCAGGCAGCAGGCCACTGTGTGCGACACCAGCTGGCTCCTCTCCTTGCACCGCCCCATCTGCTCGATGAAGGTGCCACAGGAAGAGTCTGAGGGGAGCTGGCTAGCTCACAACCAAGGGCCAGTGTGTGCACATACTGCATGTGTGCTGAGAACATGGAAGGGCACCTTGCCCTCCGCAGGAAAAGAAGCAAAGAAAGGTTCTCCACCCAAACTCTCTTTTTTAGATCAGCTGAAAAATGAAATTCCATCTTTGCAAAGAGCAAGTTCCTTACCTGATTTGTACTGAATCTCTTCATGTGTATGAGAGATGGAAAAAATCATAATAGAAATTCGTGTATTAGTACTCTAAGCAAACAAGCCACAGATTAGTTTCCCAAATTCTTACCGGCCTGAAGTCTGATGAGTGAGATTTGTTAAATTTGCTGCAGGTGATGAAGCAAGCAAGGCATAAAGTCAAGAGAACTCCTGCCAAGATAAGTTGCCAAGACCATGCCAGCACGACCCTGGATAACGCTGGAGGAGGAGGGGCTGGAGGAAAGCTGCAGACCAGCTGATCTCCATCCTGCAAGTTTTCCAGGGAGAGCATATGAAATAAATAAGCCTTTCAGAGCCAGGCGTGAGTGGAGCATGCTAAGGGTTTGCACAGTAAACATTAACTCTATCCCTCACTTTCACAAAGATGCCTCCTCTATTTGCTGATAAAACAAGTCATCTTCTGGGTATATGTTTTATTATTGGAATAAAAAAGTAGAGTTGCTTTTCATGAATTCATATGCACAGGGAAATTATTTCTCTAATATAAAATTCTCAAAAACAGGCTGAAAATGCAACATGGAAGGAGCTGAGGGGCATTGGGGGGGCATATGTTCCACCCAGAGAGAGAGAAGCTGTGCACCCCATTAATGAGTGGGGCCTGGGAATGTAGACCCAGAGTGTATTGATCTTCTTATTTAATAGAAGCAGGAAATACAGATTTAAAAAAAATGCAGGATCTCTTCTTTATGATTCTTTTTCTTTAATAGTGCAACTTGATCAAAACTTTGTGTCTATCAGGTAAAGCCAATCCACCTTGGCCCATTTGCCTCCCATTTTTTATTATGTCATACTCTGAATGTTGAAGGATTCTTGCAGAATTCTTGCAGATTGTTATTCGAGGTCATTGTCCTTGTGCAGTGACTGGAAGTGCCACATCTTTGACCTTGTCATAGGCCTGTGTTCTCAGGGGATGTCAGGGAGCTGGCACAGGCTGGGCAGAGACACAATCTTCTTTATCTCAGCAAAATTGCTTTCTTGGGGTCTTTATATTACCCAAAGGTAGAAGAATGACTGGTGTCTCCTGCAGGCCATTTCCACACCTCTCTCTAGGTGGACATTAAAGAAGAAATACCAACCTTTTTTCCCTAGTGACTGCATGGGAGAGATGACAGACCAGTGGCTCTGGGGTAAGCCGCTGAGACATCCAGGCCATGCCTCTCACTTTACACTTGAAGAAGGTGAGAGGCAGAAAGCACTGGTGAGCTCTCTGGGGCCCACAGTTCATCAGAAACAGCTAATGGATGTGGGCCTAGGCCTCCTTCCACACCACATAGTGCCGTGTTTACAATGCCATACTACCCCTGCCTCCACCATGTACACCCAGACCCTGCAGCCTGGATATCTGGAGATTAAATGGGTATTGGAACTGCCTAAATGTCTGGAGTTCAGAGCTGAGGCTGGAGGAGAGGAAGGCCAGAGGGAAAAATGAGGTGGTGGAAATTTGGACCTCTCCCATTTTCCTCAGGATGTAGGAACTCATCTGAGTTCCATCCAGAAAAGGGTCCATTGCTTATTTTGTTGTCTGGGTCTGGGGTCAGGCCTGGAATCTTTTGGGCTAGGTCAGGAAGATTCGACTGTGGGCAGGCCAGGTGAAGGGACTCCAGCAGTTTCCACAGAGCTGCTCTGTAGGCTAGCGTGGGAGAGAAGCACTGGTGTCACAGTCACTTAGGCTTGCTTTATGTGAAGGATTTGCTTCCTCTGATGGAATATAACATCCAGGCAGGAAAAGCATGGCTTAAAGAATTGCTTATTCTATGATTTCTAACTTGTCCATTTAGTCTAATTAAATAGCTCATTCTTCTAAACTGAGATCTTCAAGTCTCTATCCAACAACAACCTTTAAAAAAAATTGTTAAGGAGTGGATAAATGTATGAATTTACATATTTTTCTTTTCCTGTTTATGAGTGGGACGTGTGAGGGAAAAGTAACAATTTTTGAGCTCCTAGTTATAGTCACTAAACACCTTTATATACCTGATATCATAAGCAGGACTCAAATCACTTCTAGGAGGTGTGATTTCTTTTTCGTTTTTTTAGGTAACAAATGTGAAGGCCCAAGACAGTAAGATACAGAATTATAGGCCCTTGCTTGGAGGGTCTGTCGCAGCCTCACCATGCTCACAAACCCTTGCATAGCACCCGGTGCAGAACCTGTGCTCAATAAATAGTTGCTGATAACGTTGTTTTCCAAGGTGAAAGTGCCAGTGAGTGATGAGACCTTCGTAAAAGATGAAAAAAGACCTTGTGGGATGAGGAAGAAAAGGCTTGCATAATTAATAGTGAAAAAAGAACTGACTTTGATTTATATGTCACAACATCTTTTTTCCAAGGATTTTGAGTTCTTTGACAGTTATTTCACTTGTCTTTTCACCAATTCTGACAAAATTCCTGGTGTGTGAGTGTACATGTGACATTAGAGGATTCAGTAATGGCCAAACTCGCAGCTCAGGGAATCCTCCACCACCCCCCCTCACCCCCACCCCCCTACCCCCCGCCGCAGGCTCCTGTCTCTGTGTGCCTCCTTCCTGTTTCCCAAGGGATCAGGGGAACTGGAGACTCTTCTCTACCTCCGGGGCAGGCCTTTCTGCCTCCGGCTCCACCCCCATCACTAGCAGGGATGTCATTGAACTCAGCAAGGAGGGTGAGCTCAGATTTCACTTCCTACTCTCAGAAGATGGAGAGAAAACAACTCAGAAAAATTGTGCTGAGGTATTTAGACGACGCAGATGGGGACAGCCCCCCAATCTGTCTTCTCTTCAAAACTCTGACCTTTAGTGTGTACGTGGATGCTTAGAACATGCAGAAAATTGAGCAGAAAAGAAGCAAAGTCACAAGTAAATATTTTACTGAGCATCTCTGTATTGCTTTTATTACCAGAAAAATGGCATAATAATAATTTTAGCTATAGTTTTAGAGACAAGCTTTGCCAGTATTAGCCTAATATGATATCTGGTCAAAATCATGGAGCGAAAGTTACAAGGAAAGTGGCTTTAGAGTCATAACACTTCTAGGAGGTTTCTGTGCCTAAACTGAAGCTCCACAGACCTGTGAACTGGAAGCCATAGGAAATTCACATGAGATGCCTAAGCATACGCTTGCCACAACCAGCCTTGAAAGCTTGTATGAGACGCAGAAGTCTTGATTAAATGCAGATGACAAGGTGTCCTGAGCTGATTTTCTCATTTAACATTAGACTCTCTTGATTTAAGCAGCTGAATAAGAAACGAGACATAATTGGGTCTGCTTATAATTAGACATATATATATATATATTTATTTACTAGTTCCACTGAGATATTGCTTAATTTTCATTAATGCCGCTGATCTTTTTCTTTTCATAGAACCACGTTCTTGTTAATCTTGCTTGGATGCAGTTAATGGCGCTATGTTTAGTTTATCTTTCTGTTTCACAGTTACTTCCAGTGTAGAACTGATTAATTTACATTTTTCATTGCTCAGGACATCCTTCTCAATGAAAATTCATTGATAATGTCATGATTCAGTATACTTTTGGGTCAAAAAAGCAAGGGATTCGTTCAGAGGAGGAAATGAAAGGAAGCTGCCTGTAAAATTTAGTAGCACAGAATAGTGTTGTTTCTAACGAAGGGCAAAAGCTCCCACTTCATGATATCATTATGAGTTACCATGGGCTCTCTTCATCACTCTCTGCTTCCTCAGAGGCAGATGACAGACTAAGAACACTCTGGTATAGTTAATTACATTTCTAAACAGCTAACAAACATAAACAGCGGAGCATCTTTTAATGGACTGTGACATATTGATTCCCCATACATCTCTGGGCAAGTTAGGAGTCAGAAGCTAAACCACTGACATATTAGGGCAGTGCAGTTCTTCCTCCTCTATGCAGAGTAAATAATATTGTAGGCATTAAAGACTTAACAGAAAACTGGGGCTTTAAGTGAATTTGAGGCTTTTAATCAAGCACTCGCTGAAGCAAGTTTTTGCACTTTGCCCAAAAGACTTAGGTCAGATGGCCCTGCTTAGCATTTGATTCCTCCTTGAACTGGGCATTATCCACGGGCACATGAGTAGGCAGACAAGAAGTATGAGAAGTCTCTTCCGATTCACAGCATGTCTCCAGCTACCTTCCTCTCCACTCCCCCGCTTTCTCCATCCACCCAAGAAGACCGAGGGAGCAAAGAGTAATCGTTTTAGAGAATAGAATGGGCTGATTACAGTATAACCTAAATCTTATCAATCCCTTCTTTCCATTTATAAAATGATATTTACTAAATCTCAGTATTTTTAACATCTGTCTTCACCCCCATGCTCTTGGGTTTAGTTTCTGCTGGTTATTAGCTTACAGACCACTCGAAGTTCTTAATCGTATTCTGTCTAGAGTGATTGGAGGACCTGCTCTTAACACAATTTTAGAAGTCTTGAAAATCAGCCACTGACATGAATGAATAAATGGATGAGCTGAACAACGCTGGGAGGAGAAGAGGACAACCAAATCCCTCCATGTGCACCAGGGTGAGCTCCTCGTCCATCTTCTGTTGCTTCCAGTAAGGGATAAATAGGACTATCCAATGCCTTCCTTTGACATTAATGAATGAATGAATTATATTGTGATAAAGTTGAAATATATCAATGTATTTGTTTTAGGGGTTGTAGGTTCAAACCTCCACAGGTATGGGTTTATGTCACCTTCCGTCCTTTGGTGATATATTTTTTTAAGATTTATTTATTTATGTATACAAGAACTGGGGTACAGGCCCGAAGTGTGGGGCTGAGAGACAAAGTGGGGAACAGAACTGGAGGAATGACTGAAATACACTGCTGAGGGGAGCAGAGGGTGAGCTCCTCAGGAGAGGTCTGCTGTGCCATGTGGGTAGCTCCCTGGCTGGGGATCGAACTCATGCTGCAGTGGCTGCGGGTAGCTTCATAGGTTGCATCTTAACCCCTTGCGCCACCAGGGAGGCCCCATCCTTTGGTGGTGGTAAGTGAACCAGGTGGTGGCCTCGTAAGCAGTTGTGCTTAGAATGAAGCTGTCTGCATTGTAGCTGCACTTGTCATATTATTTTATGCTCTTATTTTGTGTTCTATTTGCTTCTTTGACAATAACCCAACATAAGCAAATATATGTTCCGGTATAGGTTATACTCATCTCTAGACAGTCATGTTAAGTTTTCTCTTCCTTAATATTTAATAAAAAAAGGGGAGAGAGAAATCATTTACACTGCTGGGAAGGTTCTATTGGGCCAGGCACTATGCTAAGTAGTCCACAGTCATTATGTACTTTAATCATCACATTTAATCTTCATTTCACAAACGAGGACACAGGGGCAAAGGCAAGTTAGGCCCCAGCTCAGGGCCACACGGCCGCTGGTGGAATGCATGGTGAGGGTGCCTGTGCACCTCGCCTCTCCCGGAACTCCTGCACCAGAGAGGCAGCTCCGAGGTCTACCAGGCGCTCAGGAAGATGATGTCCAGAAGCTCAGGAAGCATCACAACTCGGGAGAAAGAAACTGGTAGCAGAAGAAACTGAAACCTCCTTCTTTGGAGATGGAGAATAAATGTGCTGAACTATCCTTTCTGGCACTAATGACTGGGCTGCTGAACACCACTGCGCTATTATTGTTTTCCAGGCTGACACTTGGCCGGTTCTTTCTCTTCTTTACTTTCAGGCTAGTAATTAGATTTAAATCTCTGACAGCCCTCTAACCATCACCCCGGGGGGTTCTAGGTTTCTTTACTATTGCTTGCAAAGATTTCATTTTAAAAAAAGCCCTTTGAAACTGTAAGTAAGTTACACTCAGCACCAGTGTAAAATCTATTCTCTTATTGAGTCTTTTGAAGAACACATGCTGCTCTCTCTCGCCTCACCTTGAGAGCTCAACCCTTATTTTTATCTCCAACTTGAAGAATAAAACACTCAGGAGAACCAGAAAAGGTAGACTCATAAAATGTTGTTTTCCTCAGCACCAGTGTCACTGTGAGGTTCATTGGCCAGTCTCCAGGCGCTTGGAATGCGTTGACTCAGGAATTTTGTTTTGCTTTGTTTTTAATATTCATTTTCTACATGTAGTGAGAATTATTGTGGTGACTTTGCTTCTCAGAGGAAAAATAAAGAACTGTTCTTTGTAGGAATTAAATGAATCTCGACCTCAGCACCGGGTTGCTAGGAGCAAGGCATTTGGAGGCACGGTTTCGCATCGAGCTGTTTATCCACCTTCGCTCAGCTCTCCTCGGACACCCACACTGATTTGTGACAGCGATGAAGAGGCTGTGATCGTGGAAGACAGCTTTTCTCTGTATAAGGCTGCCTTACCCAAACAGGGCCCTTTAAATCCATTGAGGAACCAGAGAGGTCATATAAATAAGTAAAGGGCTCAGGCGAGGATGCTGGTCTCATCAACACATGTTAAAGCGCCCCAGTGGCCTCCCAGGGGACCCAGTCACTCAAGAAAAATATGTTTGTCGAAGTTTTCATCATTTTGTATTATGACTCCTGTGGAAAATCCCAGTTGCTTTTGAGGAGGGAGGCAAACAGTTTGTGGATCTCAGTACTAAGCCTGTTCATACGGAATGAAAAATGACTCACGCCAGAGGGCCAAAGGATGAGATTTGGTACCTATCCCAGTCAAACCCTTTGGCAAAATATTTTCCAGGAGACTATATTTAATACTTTCCCAGAGAGATAAAGATAATACGAGTATTTAATTTTACTAAATGGGATGTTTTGAAAAAAACTGAAAAAATTTTTTGTAATTTCAGACACAATTCTTTCAGACAATTAATAAATGTCGCTATCAATCAGTTTAAAGCTTAAAGATTCCACAATTTTCTGACAACTTCCTTTGGAAGGAAGTGAGAACACTGATATTTGTTGATGTTTTCAAATATATTCCCGTGTAGAATCCAGGGCAATATTTTCAGCTCCATTTACTAGTTGTTGTAACTAGAAAAATCCCTGTTGATAGCTATGCACATAGCTAAAGGTATGAGGAGACGTGGGCTCTATAGAATTCGGGATAACCAAAATTTTTAAATATCCAAGATATATGCCTAACCAATTCAACCTTGAGAACTGAACACCTGATAACATTGCAATGAAGAAAGGTTTCTTTGGGTAACTAAATATATGCATCCTCTAACCTGCAAAAATGAGGCTTATGAGCATAATATTCTAAAACTGTCTGGTTGTGTAGGGGGTGGAAAGTCCCTGGAGAGTGAGCAGCCTTCCTAGAACTGCTGCCTAAGAGGCGGGGTTGGATCCACAATGGGCTCTCACCCAATGGAGTGAGGCACAACGGTGAGGGAAAGAGGTATATATCGCAGTGGGGAGAGTGAACCTTCCAGAACTTTCCGGTTAGGCCCTAGCCTGAGAAATATATTTCCCCCACAGAATCTGTTATCTATACAATAAATAGTATGACTGTGAAAGTTCACTTCGCCTATAATGCAACTTAAATGTACTTCCAAAACAAATGTTTTTAATAAAATAATCATTGTGCTTTTTTACTTTTTAATTAAAGATCACATTTTGCTTAACCTCACAAAACAGACATTTATTCAATAAACATTGACTGAACAGACAAGAAACAATGTTTTTTAATAAAAATGACTAAAACATCTTTACGGACTGGTCTAAAGAGCTAAGTTATTATTTATTTTAAAATTAAAGACGTAAAAAGCTTTCATAGACTCATGTTTTAAACAAATACACTTATGCTTTGCAAATAATTTGTCTGGGAAGTCTATCCACTTATGTGTTGTCGATTTAACCTTGAGGAATTTCATAGGCCATTCAAAGATTAGGAAGCAAAAAGCTGCCTTTTTTGGAAATCAGGTCCTTTCTTTTTTTTTTAAAGATTTATTTATTTGTTTATTTGTTTATTTATTTATTTATTTTTATACAAGCACTGGGTATAGTCAGAAGCACGGGAGGGTGAGAGAATTCACCAGAGCCATAGCGGGGAGCAGAGCAAGCAGAAGGACCGAAGTACATTGGTGAGGGGAGCAGCGGGCGGCAGGAGAGGTCTGTGCGCCATGTGGGACTCTCCTCCGGTGGTCTGGGAGCAGCCGGGGATCGAACCGGCGCTGCAGAGGCTGCGGGCAGCTTCGTAACCCAGCGCTCAACCACTGCGCCACTGGGGAGGCCCTGGAAATCAGGTCTTTTATCAAATAAAATTTCAAGGGGGAGGATCCTAGAGCCTATTACTATCTCATGGTGTTGCAATGTCTGTAAGAGAACAATAGCACAGGTTTTGTAAATCTGCAAAACTAGGCACAAGATTGACTTCAGATTGCATTTTTCAGATGTATAAGTTATTTCTCTCCAAGTTGAACTCCTTAACAAGCACCTCTTAACATCCAAATTGGGAAAAAGATACTTGTTTTCCCACAACTGACAACTACCAGAATGAAAGAGTTGCTGCTTTTTCATCCAATGACTAATAAATAAATGATAGTTAAATAAATGAAGCTCTAACCATTAAGTCCACTATCACTTCTATGCAGTCTGTAGCATAGTCTTCAATGGTAAATAGTGAGTCCAATTATCCATAACTTAGGTTTAAATATATCAGTTTCCTCTGATTTGATGGATGGATACTTGATCCTGAAGCTTAAGTATGAAAACTAAATGCTGTGTGTAAATACTGGATATAGAGTTCCGGTAACACCAAACTCTGTTAATAGTGCTTAAATCTCTGAGCTACTGGTGAAACCATGTTCTGTGTGGATGGTGTTACCATAATCCATTATTTTCTAAAGCTGTCAAACTTGAAGCCTTGCGCTGAAGAGGTGCTGCACAAAAGTGAAATCCTGTTGCATTTGGAAGCCTACACCTCCGTGGGAGTTCTAATCAGGTTGCGTACAGTTCTGTGCCACAACGAACAGCTTTCAGTGCAGGAGGTAAGCCATTAAATGCTTTCTGAACTCCATTAGTTACTCCTGCTGAGAGTGAGAAAGTCCTCATAAATGCATAAAAATTAAATTGCTTAAGAGGTAAGGAATGAGATGGTACTTTGCTGCCAAATATTATTTTCTGCTCAAATGGTCTACAATCACCCATATAATGTGGAATCAGAGTACATACCTGTGAGGAATGCAGCATGGACCAAGGATCCTGTGCCTGAAAATCTAATGACATCTTGTCATCTGGTTAACAATTCCCCGATTTGGCTTCAGGCAAACTTCCCTTCTGTCCTCACCCACATCCCAGATGGAGCCCACATTTTCCATTCCAGGCTAGACAGGGAGCTCTGGCAGGCCCAGTTATTTGCCCAGCTGCAATCTGGGGTGGATAGGACTATTGGGGAAGAGAGATGCACTCTCTTTTCTCCCCGTTACTTTCCCTGAGTTGGGAGAGGATGGGTCTAGGCCTGTAATCAGCCATGTTGCCATGGTGCACAACCTGCAAGGGAAGGCAACAAGGAGAGTTAGGCTGAAAGCTGGCGCGATGTGGAGTCCTCATGACAATGCCTGGGGGCCCAACATCCAGTTGCACGTTTGGAGTTACATTTGCCAATAAATCCCATTTTTCTTAGGTTTAAGATTTCAGTCTTGGAAGAGACTAATTTGATTCTACAAACAGGAGGAGCCGAGAGACAGGTAAGTGCTTTGTCCAGGTCCTCTGCTAGTGAGTAGAATAACCAGGATGAACACCCACATCTGCATCTTCATGTATGTTTGCACTACATCATGGGAAAAGCTAACAGATGAAACTTGTTATAAACATTAAATTAAATCTTTGCTTTGAGTGAAGGTTTACTTACTGGGTATTATACTGTAAAAAAGAATTTATAAATCAATTATTCTATGTCATCCTTTCCATCGTTACCTAGAATATGGACAACTTGGAAATATATTAATAAACTGAATTTCTCAGAAATGTGTTTGTGTTCTGCTGTTACAGCAATAAAAATAACCCAACAAAATAGCTTAAAATGTTTTATTAAGTATATATAATATTACAGGGTAATATTTACAAAGTTATGTTTTTTAAATAAAAAAGTACCTTGGCAAAGATTGCAGATATTCAAAGCTTCAAACAGTGATAAATTGATTTAATACATATAAAAAAAACCTTTAACGGTAACACAGCTGTAAAACAACTTTGGTCTTTAAATCACTGCAAAAAATGGCTACTGACAAATAGCACACCTTTAATTGCTATGGAAAAAGCCCCCAAGAGAGGATCTTGCACATAGCAACACTGGAGTTTTCTTTATTTAGAATGGTTAATGGATATTTATACGGTGTGGGATCTAATTCTCAACAATGGCTTTTTGTAAATAATGCTCCGGCTAATAAAAACAAAAATGTTTCCCCTCTCACCAACCATGTTAACAACACTTTTAAGATTCCACTGATGTTGTCTTACAGAGAAGCTTATTACAAATGCCCTCTTTTATTTTTTCAAAAGACTAAATGTAATGGAAGGATGGTCTAAAATGATAAGAGCTGTCAAAAGCCAAATGCAGGAAAACTTCCTGTTCACTGCTCTTCTCTTGAAAGTTAACTGGATTATCCCTATTAGCCACTGAAAATGACATAACAAAGGACCTCTGTGGGTGACGGTAGTTAGTGATTTTGAAAATATGACAAATGTAAAACTAATGTTTCTAAACAAATACTCCATCAAACACGATAAAAAGATAAAGGTTGCCCAAAATCATTTCTCCAGTTTCCAATGACAGGTAAATAAACAGGTACGTATTCCATACATACACAAGCTCTCTGGTTCTGAATACCCATTTTAGGACAAGAAAAATCTATATAAGCTTAATTAATTTTTATTAATGAGATGAAGTAGTGAACTTATCACTTTTTTGAGCTTTACTAACTCAAACCACAATTTGGTTGGTCACTTACAAAACTGACAACAGCATCCTAAAATAGAACAATACTCTCAATTAGGGGGTATCCCCATTATTTTAATCCTCACATTCTCAGAAATTTAAACAGATGGATCTGAATTTTCCTGGTGAAAATTGTCACCTTTTAAGGTTTTCAGAACACATGAAATTTGTCAAAAGAAGAAAACTCTCTAGCTCACCCTCTTCAAAATAGTGGGAAATCTATTTCATATAGTCAACTCTCAAATATCAAACTTAGATACTGAGTGGCTAATATATGCAAAACACTGCAGGAAGAGAAAGGAAGAAAAAAAAGAAAATTCTTGCTGAGGAGGAATTTTTCAATTGAGTGAGAGAAGCAAGGCAAAAGCAAACAAACAAACAAAACAACAAACAAACAAACAAAATCCAGAAGAGCTATGCAGAATCACATGAAGTACTAGGAAAAGTATGAGATGAAAAAGGCAGCTAGACAGATGGGGATAGACTGCAAAAGAGAGCCAGTGGGGGGTGGAAGGGCAGGAGGATAAAGTTTTGAAGGCAAGAATAAAATTTGATTTGGCCAAAAGGCTGGAAAAGTTGTTGTAAATATGACAAATGGTGTCACTCTGAGAACATACAACGAAGAAAGTAGAATGGAGGAATAAACCACAAAAGTTGGGATCAGTGAGGAAAAAGCAGATGAGGGGGAGGGGGTGCAGATAGATGATGCTCACACATCATTAGCAATTTTAATTTGCTGTGGCAGAAAACTGGGAACCATTACAAGTCTAATTTAAAGAGAATGAACTGGCCCAATGATGCCCAAGCAAGAGGACTCCTGCTGCTATGGTCCCTTTTCCAGAGAATCTGACAACTAGTGAGAGCAAGAGTTGATTTCATCTGGAATTTCTCCTGCTACCTCTGAGAGTTGTCTAGGGCAGTGAATGCCTCAAAGGTAGGCAGCATTAAGAGAACACAAAGGATGGGGAAGTCTCAAGACTGAACCCCAAATAAATGAGAATTGACTACATATTAAAAGGTAAACTTTAGTTTATAAAAGAGTTTACTATAAAGATCGTCATACCTTTTTCTTGAGAGAATAAGAATTTAGATTTTTTTCAAGGTCAACTGTTTTTTTCCTCCTTTCATCAAAGCTGGTTTCTCAAGTAACAAATAATATTAGTAAAGTATAAATATTTTCAGAAGGAAAAAGAGCAACAGGAGTCATCTGGTTTTTATAAAGGAATATTGCCCATTCTACACATGCTATTATTTTGGCCAGCAACAGAATTAGGGAAGACTTTTTTTTTCAAGAAGAGCTGTCTTTTGTGTGTTCAGTTTTCTGAGTAACATCAACAGGTCATAAATTCAGGTTTGCCATGAGCAAACCACCTGGACCCATCATGAGATATGACAGTTAAATTTGGCGTAAAAGAGCCACATGGGAACACTCAGTGGACTAACAAGTAACTACTAGTAATGCAACTACAAATATGAATGTCTTATTATTACACAAATAGGAAGAATAATTAGTAGTTTTAGAGGGTATTGGTGAGCAGTCAAAAAACTGGGCAAATTACCTAGAAGTTTTTAATGATCAAATATAATTCCACCCAATAAAGATCTTTGTTTTTAAATGTTTTTACTAAAAGCATAAATTAACATTTGCTCTCCTGTAGGTACCCCACTTTTGTCCATACAGAAGATGCCTGTGCCTATCTTGTACATGAGCACATACGAACACACACCCACAAAGGAGGAAACGAGTGCTAATAATCTAAAAGTACTCCAGGCGATCACAACTGTCAGAATGTTAATTTTCTTCTAAAAGGGGTAGGAAACGTGGGGGTTTTGTTTTACCTTTCAATCTTAGAGTAAGGGGAGTACGAGGCAGGACTACAGGAGGAAAGTGATGAGTGTTTATCATGCAACATAGATACAACAGTAAGAAAACCACCCTTGCAAGGGCTGGCCCATTGGCCTGACGGTGACACACATTATGTTGCCATGCAGAAGACTCATAGTTCAAATCTCAATCTTGGTTTTTCATGCCCCAGATCAGAAAAGAAGTGAAGAAACATTATAGATTGTGCCTTCAAATCAGAGGAAGGGAATACATATGTTACAACCATTGCTACTTTTGCTGAAAAGTGAACATAGTTCTTTGAGAACAAGTCTGGCTCCTTTCTGCAATGATGCTACTGTGTCACTGGACCATGTTCAAAGAGGAGAAAAGGTTCTACGTCTTGTACAGCAGAAGCAAATAACAGGAGGACAAGACCGGCTTTACAGGGTTGTGCGAATAAAAGAAAAACACATCCATCGATAAAATTATCCTAAAAATCTGCAAAGGATCTGTTACACTGCAAGGTAAAGGAAGAATGGGAAAGGCAACCCCCAGGAAGGAAGACCACGACCTCCACATTGGTATCACATCACACAAAGGTGACGTACAAGATGTTCCAAACCAAATTCCTGTCCATGCTTAAGAGGCTATTGAAGAAGTGGCAGACACATTACTCAGTCAGCACCACAAGTGTCAAAGCTATTGCAAATCTGAGTCTGCTCTGGTTCACTGGAAGCCACTGTTTTCCATGGATATCTCGGTGTTACTGATCGGTCAGGTAATTCTCACCTTGAACCAATTTACACTTGTGGCCCAGAGTCAAGGGACCCTAGGATCTGAGAGACATCATTCTTGGGAGTTGCCCACTCTAATTTTTGCCCCTAATTGAGTAAAAATAACAACAAAAAAACTGGATCTCAATTGGGCATACACCACAGTCTTAATTCTTTTATTAACTAAATTACAGATGTTTTGAATAAAAACTTAACTGTAACAATCATTTAAGGGTCAATGATTTATATTATCTCACAGATGAATACCAATTATTTGTCTTCTTTTTTTCTCTTTAACAGTGAATCAAGGCCATGGTGCTTAAACACAAGAACTTTGATGTCTTACTGATCTCCATTGGGAGTCCATCACTTCAGTTACTCTGGAAAATTGAAAAAGGAACACATAATCATAATTTGTTTCTATTTTCTATGCATTAACAGGTTGATTCATTTTTGGGTTTTGGAATTGTCTCAGATATACAGTATCCAAAATTACAAAAGGTATTTACTCTTATATTTACAAGTCATTAGTCTTTTTTAGTTACAGTCAGTAGAAAACAATCCCAAATGAAAATGCAAATTGATTAAGTCTGATAATTTCCATTTCCTGGGTTAGCTGGGGAAAAATCAAGAAAGGCTGATTTTTCAAAGCAAAAGATATTGACCCTAGAATATTCTATCACATTTACTTTAGATACATCATTCATTTAATGTAGGTGAAATAAATATGTCATTAGGTGTGGTCCTGGGGTGGGGGGATGCTTTGAACCTTACTGACTGACAAAGCAGATACACTATGAACATCAAGCTGTTGTCAATAGGGAGACTTATTTTTAAAAAAAAAAATCAACAAATTCTGAACAGCTAAATATTAGCAAAATTAAGATAATTTGAAAGGTCAACATAGATTTCATATGCTATGAACACACAAAGACTGCCTTATAAAGTGTCTCCATATAGAAGGATTCAAAAAAAGTTACATCTTCAGGGACATGAATAAAGGAAACGACACTCAAGGTTTTTACACTGGTTTTCTGACAATGGAGGAAAGGAGTTTAGTTTCTTCATAGAAGTACAGAAGAATGATACCACGATAGGAAAAGCAAAGAACAAAGAAATAAAAAAATAGAACACCAGACTGTAAACATGGACAAACCACACCACAATTCCAGGTGCCAATTACTTTATTAATGTCATGTAATTTGTTCCTACCAACTATGATTTTTTTTCCCAGAGGGCAGCAACAAGTTTAACGAAAATGCATTTTTGCAATAAAGGCTGTGATAAAAGCTTATGAAAGGATTTGTTTTGTGACCTCTGTTGAACACAAGCCTAAACATGTTTTAAGCACAGTTCACCAACTTAAACATGCTTTAAACTTAGTTCACCAACACACAATTGGCATGTTTTTAATCTTATGCAAAAAGTAATTGTACTCAGGGGACTATGGCCTCTTGGGCTAAAGGCTGCTCTTTACCATAAAGGAAAGCAGGTAGGTCACAGACTTTAAAACAGAAAAATAGAAAGCAAACTATTTACATGATAAGGAATGACTGTACATATTAAAGGTATGAAGACATGAGGAAAAAACTCATAATGCGGACAGAACTGAAGAATCACAAAGTTAAAATCAAAGTGAATACCCATGGCACTCAATATCTCTGATTGCCTTAACTTTCAGAAATAACAAATGCATGTCTTTGGAATATTCAATAAAAATTAAGAGTTAAAACCTTAGTGTTCCACCAAATAGAAAATCCAGAAATAAACCCACAGATTTATGGTCAACTAATCTTTGTCAAAGGAGCAAAGAATATGCACTGGAGCAAAGAAAGTTTGTTCAATAAATGGTGCTGGGAAAACTGGGTCGCTACGTGCAAAAGAATGAAGCTTGACTACTACCTCACACCATGCACAAAAACCAACTCAAAATGGATTAAAGAACTAGACATAAGACCTGAACCATAAAATACATAGAAGAAAATATAGGCAAAACACTACATGACATGCACCTCAAAGACATCTTTACAGACATCGCCCAAAGCAGTGACAGTGAAGGCAAAGATAAACAGCTGGGACTACATCAAATTAAAGAGCTTCTGCACAGTAAAGAGACAATAACCAAAACAAAGAGAAACCCCACTGACTGGGAGAACATTTTTGCACCCAACACTAATGATAAAGGACTGATCACAAAAATCTACAAAGAGCTGATGAGACTCAACAAAAACAAAGAAAATAATCCAGTCAAAAAATGGGCAGAAGAGCTAAAAAGAAACTTCACCAAAGAGGAAATTCAAATGGCCAAAGGGCATATGAAAAAATGTTCAATGTCACTTGTAATCAGGGAAATGCAAATCAAAACTACAATGAGATACCATCTTAGACCAGTGAGAATGGCACATATTAAAAAAACTAGCAACAACAAATGTTGGCGAGGGTGTGGAGAAAAACGAACTCTCCTGCACTGCTGGTGGGAGTGCAGACTGGTCCAACCACTATGGAGAGCTGTGTGGAGATTTCTTGACTTACTAAACATAGAGTTTCCATATGATCCAGCAATTCTCCTAGGTATTTACCCAAATGACACAGAAACATTAATTCCAAAGGGCACCTGCATGCCTATGTTCATAGCAGCACTGTTTACAATAGCTAAGCTATGGAAGCAACCCAAATGCCCAAAAATAGATGACTGGATCAAGAAGATGTGGTACATATACACAATGGAATATTACTCACCAATCAAAAAAGATAAACACATGTAGTTTGCAGCAACATGGATGGCGCTGGAAGGGATCATGCTCAGTGAAATAAGCCAGAAAGAAAAAGAAAAATACCGGATGGTCTCACTCATAGCAGGAATTTAGAAAATTTAAATAAGAGACCAGGAAAAAAGACTAATGAATACAAAATCAAAATCAACAAGCAACTATAAACCAGACACACTACACTACGGGGAGGGGGGTTGAGGGGAGAGAGGGGAAGGGAGAGGAAGGACTAGAGTCAAAATAAGGAGGGGGTGCAATTGTATGGGGAATATAACCAAAATGAAAATGCATACATTGTCCAAAGATGAAAACTGATGTAAGAATTATATAAAATAAAATATTTAAAAAAAAACCTTAGTGTTACAAACAAAAAGGTGAAAATTTGAATTGTTGAACATTTTTCTTTCTTTTCTAAAAAAAACTTCCCAAAAATGTTAGAAGCAATTTTTGCTTGGCAAAGCAGAGACATTAAGTCCCCATGGTTTGAAAGCAAAAAAATCAACAACATCAGCACAAAAGAAATTGTGAACATGATAAAGATTTGGGCCAGCAAACCTATGTGTCTTATAAAAGGGATTTGAAAATTATAGTCACCTGGCACTGCCTCTAGAAAATGTTTTTTGGTTTTTTTTTTTACAAAGTGTGATTGTTCTTTGCTATGAGCAGCATGACTAGAAAGTCTAATTAGTGATGCTCTCCAGTTTTTATATGACTAGTTTTGCAATTTTTAACAGAAAATTTCAATTTTATAAATTTAGAAATGTGGATGATTTGACAAAATCCCTTTGATTTAAAAGGGATTTTTTTTTTATAGAGGCATGTTTATTTATTTATTTATTTATTTGTTTATTTGTTTGTTTGTTTTGTTTATACATGCACTGGGTACAGTCAGAAGCATGGGAGGGTGAGAGAATTCACCAGAGCCAGAGCAGGGAGCAGAGCAGACAGAAGGACCAAAGTACACTGCTAAGGGGAGCAGCGGGTGGCAGGAGAGGTCTGCGCACTATGTGGGACCCTCCTTTGGTGGCAGGGGATCAGCCGGGGATCGAACCGGCGCCGCAGAGGTGCGGGCAGCTTCGCAACCCAGCGCTCAACCGCTGCGCCACCGGGGAGGCCCTTAAAAGGGATTTTTATTGAAAATCCTTTTTATTCAAGAAACTGTTTGATTTCATTCTTTTTCATTGTCCATACTTCAATCAATTTATAACTAACTGTAGGTACATTTTGTACTTACCATCATTCATCATTCCTTTTGGTTCTTTAAATGCTAAGAATTAGTAACAAGCCAAGTAGACAGTTAGTAGGAGCACACAATTAGAAATCATTTCTAAATAAATAAATATGCACTAAGATCATGCCAACTATTTCACAGCTACAGAGCCAAATTAAGTTTAAGGCTTCTTTTGATTACAAAAGCATTTCTGTGAATCATATCCACAGCATCCACAAAGGAAACAAATTCAGTTGGGAATATAAATCCAAATTTAGGGAAAAAGAAAGTAAGATGTTTTGGTCTCACTTCATGCTAAGACCCTGTTTCTTTCTGAAATTTGTAAATCAGAAACTAAAATTAATTGAGATGCTTCTCTGTGGGATGTTACTGTTCATGTTGACCAATATAAAAAAGGCAACGGTCCTCTTGCCCAAGTATTACTTGACTAGTACAAGCCATGTGGGCAACAGAACAGTGAGTGCATTTTGTTCCAGAGGTGAGAACATTATAAAAGTACTCCTCTTAATTCTTGATGAGTAATCAAGAAAAGATTGATCAAGATAAAAAAAATTAGATTTTTCCCAAGGCATAGATGGAATCTTTTTACTTCTTGGGCCAGTTCAAATTATGATCTGGTAATGGATCAAGAAAAATACAAGTTTATAATAACCACATACCATTAAGGGGTTCCTCTACAGCTTTCTGGAAAATATTTAAAATATATTTACATAATAGAATCTTATTTCAAGTCCTTTTATACTAAAATTTATATATGCTAACATTTAAACTATATATCAAGTATGAATCCTATAGTCTAAAAATAAAATAAGACAGCAAAGGTCAAAAAAGCAAGCTTGCCAAGTCTACTTAATAGCTTAATAATAACTGTATTATTCTCTTAGTATTCTTTATGCAGAATTTCCCATCCCGCCCTACCTATGTTCAAGAAATTCTAACTTCTCAAATTATTAAAGTGCAAACATAAATAGCAATACAATAAATGAAAAATATAGTTAAGCAATAGATGAGAGCAAAGTAGAATCATTTGCAAGTCATGCAAATTGAACTTAGTTACAGGGAAAGAAAATGTGTTTAGGATTTAAAGGTCTAATGGTTGAATTATCTTTAACACAACCATGTTAAAAACTGCTGGCTGGCTGTGACCAATGTAGCTATGGCACCAGTCTTTTCTGAATAAACATCTGTAACAAGGCACACATCATTTGACTTTTAGTTGTGTCTGCTGAGGCTTGTTGGATTTAGGGGCACATGTAATCCTCACTTCCTACTACAGAGTCTTGCTTTGGCTTTCCAGATAGACCCATCATTAATCCTTTATAGTGAAATGAGTTCAATATTGTCCTTTGAAGATCTTTTCATCAAATAACTCTTGAATCTGTCCCATGACGAGTCTCACTTATAACATTTTTTTTCCACCTACCTCCCATTTATTCCTCTCAGTTTACCACCTAATTTTTCTTCTTTCCTTAGGATTTTCTCAGATAGCTTTTAAAGTTTCCAAGATACAGTAGTTCCCCCTTATATGATGTTAATGCTTTCTATGGTCTCAGTTATCTGTGATCACCATGGTAGAAAAGATTACATATAAAAAGATATTTTTGAGAGCGAGACTACAGTCACATAAAATTATTTATTATAAATGCAAACTTTCATTATAGCGTATTTTTTATAATTGTTCTGTTTTATGAATCTTTTACTGTGCCTAATTTATAAATTAAACTTTAGTATAGATATGTATGTACAGGTGAAAACACTGTGTATATAGGGTTCAGTACTATCTGTACTTTTAGATCTCCATTGAGGGTATGCAAAGTATCTCCATGTATTAAGGAAAGCAATCAAGGCATCACGCTTGAGGCACACAATTGGAGGCTCCTCACTACCTTACTTTTTCAGGAATATACATTTTACTTGCCTTCCCTGCTCCCAGAATCTGGTAAAGGACAGATCCTGGAGAAAAAATGTATTGCAAACACCATATGGATTCACCATCCGGTGAATATGAGTAAAATCAATTAAATTTTCTGTATAAACTTTTAAGATTGGGAGGGGCATGGAAAACAATCCTATCTATTATCTATCTATCTATCTATCTATCTATCTATCTATCTATCTATCTATCTATCTATCTATCTATGTATCCAACATAGAGTATGTTTGTATGTATGTGTATGTTGTATATGTATGTATGCATAACAAATATTAACAGATCTAAAGGGAGAAGTTGATAGTAACACAATAATAGTAGGGACTTTAACACCTTACTCACATCAATAGATGTATCTTCTAGACAGAAAATCATTAATGAAACATCAGTTTTAAATGATACATTACACAAGTTAGACATAAAAGATATAAATACAGAACATCCCACACAAAAGCAGCAGAATATACATTCTTCTCATTTTACATAGTTCATTCTCAAGGAGAGATGACATGAACAAATCTCAATAAATTTAAGAAAATCAAAATAGCATTAAACATTTTTTCTGAACACAACCAGCTGTATGCCAACAAATTAGACAATCGAGAAGAAATTAATAAATTCTTTGAATTGTACAACCTCCCAATGCTGAAACATAAAGAAACAAAAGATTTGAAGAATGTTCATTGGTAAAGAAATAAAAAAACTTTCCCCGAAACAAAAGTCCAGGGCCAGATGGCTTCATTGGTGAATACTACCAAATATTCAAAGAAGATCTAATACCCATTCTTCTCAAACTCTTCCAAAAACTCAAAGCTAGTGTCACTCTGATGCCAAAGCCTGACAAGGACATCATAAAAAAAATTATAGGCCAATATTTCTGATGAATATAGATGCAAAAATCCTCAAGAAAATACTGGCAAAATGAATTCAACAATAAATTAAGAGATCATATACTAGCATCATGTAGAATTTATTCCAGGGATGAATATATGTTTCAACATGTGCAAAGCCATCAATGTGACACATTACATCAACAAAACGAAAACGAAGGATTAAATATCATATGATCATTGAAATAGATGCAGAAAGAGTATCTGGTAAGACCAAACATACATTTATGAAATAAACTGTTAATAAAATGGGTTTAGAAGGAACAGACTTAAATGTAATACAGGCCATAGATGACATCATACTCAATGGTGAAAAATTTAAGGCCTTTTCTCTGATATCAGGAACAAGACACAGATGAGTACTATCACCAGCATCATTTAACAGAGTACTGGAAGTCCCGGTCAGAGAAATTAGGCAAAATTATAAAAGAATGAAATGTAACTACATTGGAAGGAAGACGTAGAACTGCCATTATATTCAGATGACATATTATACACAGAAAGCCCTAAAGACCTCTACACAACTATTAGAAATAATGAATACAGTAAAGTTGTAGATAACAAAACCAAAATATAAAAAATGTGTTGCATTTCTATATGCCTACAAGGTACTAGCAGACAAAGAAAAGAAAAATAAATACCATTTAAAGTCACATCAAAAAGAATAAAATATTTAGGCATGTATTTAACCAAGGAAGTGAAAGAGTTATACACTGAAAACTATGAAAGTGTTGGGAGAAACTGAAGAAACCACAAAGAAATGGAAAGTCATTCCATGCTTATCGATCAAAAGAATTAACCGTGTCGAAATAGCCCTTTTACTTAAAGTAATATTCAAATTCAATGTAACACTATTACATTGACATTCTTTACAGAAATACAAAAAAATCCTGAAATTTGTAATGAACCATAAAAATCTTTGAATAACAAAACAATCTTGAGAAAAAAAGTACAAAAATGGAAGCATCGTGTTCTCTGATTTCAAAGTATAATATACAACTCTAGTAATCAAAAGTTTGATAATGAAATAAAAATGGGCACATGGATCAATGGAATAGAATCAAGAGCCCAGAAATAATCCCACACTACATAGACACCCGATTCATAACAAAGAGCCAGAAGCTTGCAATAGAGAAAGGAAAATATCTTCAATAAATGATGCTAGGAAAAGTATATAGTCATATGTAAAAGAGTGAAATCAGACTACTACTTTATACCATATAAAAAGTTAATTCCTATTGGTTAAGGACTTGAATATAAGATCTGAAAACAAAACACACAGAAAGAAACACAAATGATAAGTTCTTGGACATTGACAATAACGATGTCTTTTTGGATTTGTCTCCAAAAGCAAGGGAAACAAAACATAAACAAATGAGACTATATAGAACTAACAGGCTTCTGCACAGCAAAAGAAACCATCATTAAAACAAAAAGGTAACCGAATGGAAGAAAATATCAGCAAAACATGTATCAGACGAGGGATTAAGATCTAAAAATAAAAAAGCAACTCAATAACAACAAAAATACAACCTGATTAAAAAATGGGCAGAAAATCCAAATGGCATTTCACCAAAGAAGACATACAGATGGTCAACAGACACATAAAAGGAGTTCATCTCTTAGCACTAGGAAAATGCAAACTGAAATCACAGTGAGATTTTACATTACACCTATTAGAACAGATAAAGAAGATGCGGTACATATATACAATGGAATACTGTGCAGTTATTATTAAAAAAACGATGAACTCTCGTCATTTGTGAGAACATGGATGGAGCCTAAGGAGATTATGTTAAGTGAAATCAATTAGAAGGAGAAAGACAAATACCAGATGACTTCACTAATATGTAGACAAAAAGGAAAAAAGCAAACCTGCAAACAAAAGGAACCCTTAGACACTGACAACTGAATGGTAGTTCCCAGAGGGGAAGGGGTGGGGGGTGGTAGAACATGTAGAGGGACTTGACTGATTGGGGGTGAATGGTAAGTGGACATGTGGTGAGGCACATAGAGTTGACGAGGTGTGCAGTCTGAAACTTATACAGTGTTGTAAGCCAAAATTACCTCTAAAATAACAAACAAAAAGAAAGATAGTTAAGACTTTTATATAATTTTTAAGATTTGTGAGGTGGGTGTGGAAAACTATTTGTCTCATGGCCATACTAGCAAAGCCTCTATGTAAGTTTCCTTGGCTCTATAAAACCATCACCTACCAACATGGAGTGGTGTGCTTTTTTTCTTAGGTCTCCTCTTGCCCTCCACATATAATAGCCAAAGTCAGATTACCCCTGAGTTGTGGCCCAATACCCTGGATAAGGAGGGACTACTGTATTGTGAAAACCATAATGTAATTGGGAGGAAGAAAAATGCTTATAAAATGGGGGAATGATCATAATTCAGTACAGGTATTTTTAGCAATATTTACATTTGCTTAGTATATTATTATTTTGATAGACTCCATTAATGTAAATCAATTTAATATAAATTTCTCCTCATTTTCAAGTGTGACATATTTTGTATATGCACATCAAGTGGAACAACAGGTAAGGCAACATCAGTATTAGCTTCCTTCAGCAGAGATAATGTCTCTGGGCAACAGACTTGCCAGCTCTGGGCAATAGAAGTCAGCACAATATTAAGGAATCATTCATTCTGTCTCAATGCCACTAAATGAACAAACACAGGTTTTAAAATAGAATTGTATCCATTCATGCAAAGGCCATGAAATGACTTCAATATGCTCTTAATTTGACATTACACTAAACTGATAGCTGAAACGTTCAATATCCCAATTACCACTTCTCAGTCTACACATCAAATGATCATCTCCAATTCATTAAGAAATTTGAACTTACCCTAGGAGGTTGTATAGATTTCTGATTGGAAGCTGATGAAATTAAAAAATAAGAAAGTGAATTAATAAATAAGAAAAATTAAGGCAATGTTAATATATAAGATAAAATGATCAGGGTTAAAACTCCATTTCAAGAGTTCCAGCTTAGACTATTTAAAAATACATAACATTCATGATTATATGCATTTATAGTATAAAATGCAAATAATATGCCTATATCAAATAATAAATATACATGGTCTCTCACTTGTGCATGCATATCCACATATCTACCCCTCACCCTCACCACCCCCTTACCCCCCTCCAATCAACACTTGATAATAGTTCTTGAGGGGAATAGGTCATTATTTACGGACCCCCATGGTAAAATCTACATCCCTCCTTATTTTACCCAGTTAGAATGTGGAGAGAATGTGCCAATAACCAATATCCACCCATACTTTGTTGCCCACCCTTAGCTCATTGCTCTTGTTTTTTGTGACCCATTCTTTTCCCCCCTTCTTCCAACCTTCCAGTTTTTAAAAATTTCAAACTGCTAACAACCTAAAGAAAATATTCAGAACCCTTTGAGTTTGCAGAATTATTCTAGGTGGGTGGCTAGTTTTAGTTTCAATCATGTCCTTTTCTGTGTATTCCTTCTTAGTTTTCCAATTTACCCCTTTTATTGCTTCTGACTGAATTGGTTAATAAAGATAAAGGAATACAGGGTCAAAAGAAAGTGATGAAAGAGAAAAGACGTGCTCTAGTTGTACAGGGAAGGAGGAAGAAATTCCTTATAAAAATCAATGAGAAGGGCCCAGGGCAGCTAAAACTAGTTCTAAACACAGAATCAGAGTTCTATAGATACAAAAGCAGCCATGAGCAACATCCTCTGAAATATTTTGTAGGAGGGTGATGCTACTGGATAGAGCAGTCAAGCTCACTGTCTATGGACTGGATGCTAGCACTGGATTCACACATTAGCATCTTGAGGCATGCCCCCAGAACTGCTCTAATGTGTTCTGGCATTTACTTACTACATTTGTCCATATTTGCTTTATCAAGATTCCAAAGTTAATGAGAAATGGGGTTAAATCTGAACCAAGGACTCTCTGATAGAAAATGACAACTGACTGGCCTGGAAATCATTTCCCTTCCACTGGAATATGAAGAGGAATAATAGAAAGAAGACTAGAAAGTCTTCTTCCATGAGGACATAAAAGAGAGGACAAACTAATTAGCTAGTAAGTAAAGCACCAAAGAGAGAGGAACTAAATAACCATAACCTTCTTGTTATCAAGAGGGCAACATAATGACTTGGGTTTTAAGAGATGTATTAAATCACCCCAATTCCTAAACCACTTTCTGGGAGGTCCAGTTCTGTATTTGCTTTCATAAGATTCCTTTCTCCCTTAAGTGGCATGCATTGCTTTAAAGTAAATCTTCCCTACTGAAGGCACTTGGGCCATCATTTGGTGCTTGGAACCAAACCAGAAGGAAACCTCTTTTTAAGGAACTATGGAAATAGTGTGGGAATATGAGTGAGTGAAATTTAGCAGACTCCCAAATAAACCAAGCTAAATTACAGAACTTTATTAGTGACCATCACGATAGTCACTTGTGTATACGACTTCAACTACACTGTGCTGTACAGCAATGTTCTATCAAGGAAAAGAGAACTGATTTGCTATCTTAATGGTTAGTGAAAAGTCAGAGGTAAGATTTGAGTTAAAATTTTCAGCTCATAAATTTATTTATTAGAATTAGTATGAAGACTTGTCAATTCACTTCTTTTCTGCCCTAATGATGTGTAAAGAACAGTTTCTGAGTTCCAAATCTCAGGTCCAAGGAATGTCGCATATGGCTAGTTCATTAAAAAATAGCTACAAAGGACCCAAAGCGGCCATATGTGAGCTCACTTGCAATGCTTCTTCTTGATTTGTTCTTTTCTTTTTGAAATACTTAACCATGTGCCATAAATATACTTGTGTGTTTTGAATTTTCAGAAATACTTCTAGATGCTGATGCCAAATTAATCTCTCCCCAATAATAGGCAAGAAAGCATTGCTGAATTACATGCACATATACACACACATGCCTTGTCACCCTGCGATGACATGGCAAATAAAGCTTCTGACTGCTTCTAGGTTGATTTGTATTAAAACACGATTCAATACCATTATACTGAACTAACTGGTAATGGCTTTAAAAATATGAAAAAGTACTAACCCTTATAAAAACCCTATATAAATAGCAAGCCCAACTAGAGTGAGTTTTAGTAAGTTCCCCTTAATCTTCTGTATTTTTGCATTGTTATTGTTCCTAGCCCCTATTTCATTTTACAAAATTTAAATGTGTTCAGTAAGAAGCAAATGAAGAAAATCCAACACAGTTAAAAAAGAAAACCATAGAAAAATGAAAGTTAAAATCTTACTTTTTAAAGTAACAATTAAGGTTACAAATTTAAACTTAGAAATAATGGAATATATAAAAGTTAAAATTCTTTTTGGAATATTAACTTATTCTTAAAAAGACAGCTTAGTTTTAAAAGAAAAAAGTATCTGAGGATTTTCTTGCATTTAAGTCAAGCCATATTCATTAGGCTTTCCTAAAACAGAGCATCTTCAATGGGTAAAAATTATTTTGGAAACATTTTCAATTTTTACAACCTACACAGTCAAAACTTGTAACCTTAATGTTACATATACTCAGATTTATACATTCAGGTTATATAAGAAAAACACATCAATTTTCCTAGTCTACCACATTATCTAAAGAGCAACTTTCCTGTACCTTTTCTCTTCTTGCCCTTCAACTGACCGAAGGTGTGCCTCTGAATTCTGACAAGTTGATTTGAAAAGTTAATTTAGAATATTCTTAAAATGTCAATAAAATTGGACTAAATTCTTATCTTACATAGTCTATACTTACATGTTAAATTATAAATAAAAATAATTTTGGGAACTTTTCATGATTTCATTTTCACTTTGTTTTAATGTGAGAATAGCAGTTTGCAATTGCACTTGTGTCACAGGTTTGGTTGACAGATAAGCAGTGGAGAAGACAGGAGGATATGGTCAAAGGGGTGGCAGCGAGACAATGCCTGTTTCACTTTAGTCAGCATCTCCAGACCTGTTGGTGACTATGCTAACATTTTGTTAAATGTAGTAGGCATGGGGAAGGAAGGAGAAAGAGAGGCCATTAAGATAATAAGGGGGGGAGGGAAAGAACAAAGAACTGACCATCAGTCAAAGACACCTAGCACGACCTGGCACTGTGTGGGTACTGAAGGTCATGTGCTGCTGTCAAGCGCTGGTAGGGAGCAACATAATCAGCAGCGTCATCTCCAGGAATCAGACAAATGGTGATTAGAAGACTCAACAAAAATAGAATATGTATCAACATTTATAATGTGATGCTTATGATAGCTACCAAATGAATGCCATTTTGCTTTTAAAATCTTAATTGTGTTTCATCGATTTATGAGGCATAACCTAAGAAAATTTTACTGAGTAAACAACTCTAACTTTTGAACAAATAAGCTAAAGCTAGGAAGATTTTAGTAAAGTAGTTCAATTATTTCTCTAATAAGCATTAATTAAAGAGGGGAACAAAGAATATATAAAAAATTGAGCTCAATGATAACTCAGCAAAAACTGAAGTTCAGGGATAAAAGTAAAATTTCTTTGAAAACAATATGCAAGTCATGTGGGAAATCACATTACTGTAACAATTCAAGGTTTACATTCACTTTTAGAAACATGGTTCACCTAAAGCAAAATAGAAACGTTAATTTTTTTACTCTATTCATTTGAGTAGTGTTTAAGAGTTTGATTTACTTCACAAATTAAAAAAAAATAATTTTTTTTGAAGGGGATTAATGGAAACTAAATGGTAGGTAACTCCTTCAGCTTAACTTTCATAATATAGTAGTTTTAGACAAAAATAAAAACTTATGTATATTGTCATGTCATTAGGAAATAGTGGTTTTAATTCTGTCCCAATCTGTATTATGTTTATATCTTTGTCTTGCTTAACTGCTCTAGCGAGGACTTCCATACTATGTTAAATAGTGGTAAGACTGAACCTTATCTTATACTTCATCTTAGAGGAAAGGTTTTCAGTTTCTCACCATTTACCATGATATTAGCTGTGGGTTTGTCATATATGGCCTTTATAATGTTGTGATATGTTCATTCTACCACCATTTTGAGGGTTTTATCATAAGTGGATGTTGAATCTTGTCAAAAATTTTCTATGAATCTATTGATATGATATGATTTTTATCTTTCTTTTTTGTTGATATGGTAATTTGCACTGATAGATTTGCAAATGCTAAACCATACTAGTACCCTGGTGTAAATTTCATTTGGTCATGATGAATGATCTTTTTAATTTATTTTTGAATTCAGTTTGCTGACATTTTATTGAGGATTTTTGATCTAATTCATCACAAACAATGGTCCATAGTTTTCTTTTTTGTGCAGTTACGGTCTACATTTGGTATCACAGTAATGTTGGCCTCATAAAATGTATTTGGAAACATTCTCTTGCCTTCTATTTTTTGAGGACTATGAGAAGAATAGATACTAGTTTGTCTTTGAAGGCTGATAGAACACACTAGTGAAACCATCTGAGTTGTTTAAGAAGGTGTAGTATATATACACAATGGAGTACTACTCAGCTATAAAAGAGATAAATTCTTGCCATTTGTAACAACATGGATGGGACTGGAGGGGCTTATACTAAGTGAAATAAGTCAGAATGAGAAAGACAAACACCAGATGGTTTCACTCATATGTGGAACAAAAGAAAACAAAAGAAAGGAACAGATAATACAAAACAAAACAAAACTTCCAAATAGGACCAAAATTGAAGCTAGCAGGAGACAGAGGTGGGGAAAAGAAGAGGGAGGGGCCCAATGAACTGTGATGGACTGTGGGTGCCTCGGTGGTGGGTGTGGTGTGGTAACATACATCTGAAAAGTGCCATACTATGCCTATACTCTGAAGCATATGCAATGTTGTACACCAATTCTACCATAACAAAGCAATAATAAAAATAGTAAGAATTTTTACAGAGACCTGTTACTTGAAAATGGCAAGTTAAATTCAAAGTGCAGAAATAGTAAGTTATTTCCACACTTAATAATTGATTTTTAAAAAGTGAAAGAATAAATTTTAAAACAATGTTTTTATCACATTGGCTTTAATCAAAAATATGTTAAAGTTATGTGTAAGAGGACACTGCACTTCAATTTACATTTCAATTCCTGCTACTTAGGGTAGTCAAGATCTACAGACATTCTGAAAGAAAAGCAAGTGACAGGTTTCTGTGAAAGTTCTATCAACCATGGACTAGCTATGAATTAACATGAATCCTCAACAATCTCTCCTTTTACTTAGAATAAAAAATCTATACAGTATATAACAGAAAGCCATTTTATTTTAAACTGGTTTATAATCTATACATTTCATTAATTCATGTGACTCCTGCTCCTTTTCGTTACCCCCAAGTCATTCCAATTCTAAAAATACAGCAGCACTCATTGTATTTTCTCATTTTTGGTGTTATCAGTCTATTTGGAATTACCTTAACTATAAGAATGAACCAAAAGCATTTTCCAAATTATAAATTTGAAATTCCTGGCATAAGCTAACAAAAATAAGGGTGACTTACCAACAAATTTCATATAAACTAATCCAAGTAATTCTGCTAGAGCTATAATACCCAAACCTGTAATCAGAAGAGGGCCATGTATTGGGGTGCACTCTGTAAAAACAAATGAAATTTTGTATCAGAAACCCATTTTGTATCAGAAACCCACGTGAAGTAACGACTAATGATTATTTCAAAGCTCATTAATAACATACTAAAGCAATGCTTTTTAAAGACAGTAATTCTTTTTCTAATTATCAAGAAGCAAAAATTATCTACACATATTTATCAATTATTAATTCAGTCACTCAGTCAGCAAAATAACTCCAATTATTTTTTAAAAATGCTTTTATTGTATAACGTGTCATATCATGACTAATTACATCAAAACTAGTGAAAAATGGTATATAAAACCAAGGTTCCAACCACTTGGGGCCTGGTAATTTTTAAAATTCTCCCACAAATATAGGCATAGCAACTTGGCTCCTAGAACAATAAGTCTGTAGCCAAAATTCTCATAGTCATATGGAAAGCACTATTCTCAGCAAGGTGGAAGTGAGAGTTAAAAAAGAAAATGCCAAATGCTGACAAGGATGTGGAGCAATGGAACTTCCATTTGTTGCTGGTGAGAATGAACAATGGTGCAGACACTTTGGAAAGTGGTTGGCAATTTGTTATAAACTGAAATATATTCTTAACATATAATCCAGGAATCATATCTCTTGGTATTCACTCAAATGGAGTTGAAAACTTATGTCTAAACAAAAACATGTACATATTTTAGCAGTTTTAAACATTATTGCCCTGAACAGAGGGCAACCAAGATATAGGTAAACTGAGGTACAAACACACAATGTAATATTATTCAGTACTTTTACAAAAAGGCCAAGAATCTGTGAAAAGATACTGCAAAACCTTACATGCGTATTAGTAGGTGAAAAAAGTCAATCAGGAAAGGCTGCATGTCCAACTGTAAGAGAGTCTGGGAAAAGCAAAACTATGGAGGCAGTAAAAAGATCAGTGGTTGCCAGGGATTTAGGGCTGGGGAGGATGAATAGGCAGAGCACAGAGGATTTTGGGAAGGGTAAAACACTTCTGTAGAATATTATTAAATATATTTATGACTATGATACATGTCATACATTTGTCAAAATCATAGGATACCAGGAGTGAACCTTAATGTAAACTATGGATTCTAGGTATAATATGTCAATGTTGGTTCAACCTTTGTGCAACAAATGTACTGCTCTGCTGGGGGATGTTGACAGCTGAGGATATTACAATTGTCTATGGTATATGGGAACTCTCTGTGATTCCCACTCAATTTTGCTGAGAACTTAAGACTGCTTTAAAACATATTCCGTATGTCAAAAAAAAAAAAAAACAAAACCCAACACCTTTGCCCAAGAAAAATTCATAGTAAAACAAGTTGGGTCTAAAGAAGGGTGTAAGCCTTACCTGTGACACAGAGGCTTAGGCCAACCAAAGAGAGCACATAGCCCACCACCTGAAGGATCAATATGCCAATGGTGAAGGAGGACATCCCAATAGCTGGAGGAAGGAAAAGCATGTTGAGAGCATTTAATAAGCAACCATTCCTTCTTGTATTTTGTGCAATCAAGAATATTATCTCATGAGCTCAGACTGATTCTGGAATTACTGGTCAGAGAGTCGATGCTTTCTCAGGGATCTAAACCTTCCTTTCTACTAAAATTAGTCAGCTCCAGATTCAGCAGCCTTCTATTTTCACAGCAGGCTGAGCTAGACTGACAGTGTTTATCCAAAATCTTAGAACAATTCTGCCTTTGCCACACATGCATTTTAAAGTATGCATGGCTTTGCCACATACTGGTGGAGAGAGCCATTATATAAATGTACCTTTGTAAACATGATAACCTTTATCTTGTGTACCTAGATTGTGATTTTATGACAACTGTATAGTAAGTCAGAAGCTCTAGGAGCAAAGGTTAAATGTGCAAATAGAAAAATAAAACAACTCTTTAATAAGAACAAAAATGTTAGTGATTTACTTCCCAAATGCAGGGAAAATGACACCAACTATATTGAATAGCATTTTCTTTTAAAACTACAATACTGTTAAGACTAGTCAATAAATAAAAGAAAATAGGTATTTCCACTATTTGTGATTCATAACCCTATTTTATAGAACTAGTTTTGTTTTTTTTAAACAGGAGGCTTAGCAAAAGAAGTATATATGTTCAATATATACTTATAGTTCAAAAAAATGAAATAAGAATATGAAGATGATCATTAATAAATCTCATTACAAAATTTAAAAAATCTGAATGGTGAGAAATATATATGAAAATCACTTTTTACGAGATAATTGGATGCCATTTAAACCTAAGTTAGCCTTGAAATTAATCCATAAGGGGAAAATGTCACTAAGAATTGCTTGGGAAATTTATAATAAAATGACTTTTATTGAATTGTTAAAAAAATACATGAACACTTAAACTAGAAATGCTCAGCCTTTCATTTTTAAATGAAAAAGGTAGGAAAAATCATACTATGATAACAAATACTCACCTATCATAAATACACAGAACTGAAGTAATATTAATATCGCTGTAGGAATTACAATTAAACCAAGTCCAGAAGCATTTTTTGCTGAATATTCACCTGTTAATAAAAGCAACATTTAAAATCTTTTCCTGGGAGGTTAAAATATTTTATTAAATAAATTAATCTCAAAACTACTCTTGTAAACCATGAAATATAGGCATACTTCATTTTATTGCATTTTGCTTTATTGCACTCTGTAGATACTGAATTTCTCACAAATTGAAGGTTTGTGGCAACCCTGAGTTGAGCAAGCCTATTGGTGCACTTTTTCCAGCAACATATGATCATGGTTAATATTTTTAGCAATAAAGCTTTTTACATTGAGGTGTGTACCTTGGTTTTTAGACATAATCTATGGCACACTTCACAGGCCACAGTATAGTGTAAATATGACTTTTATATGCACTGGGAAACCAAAAAATGTATGACTGACTTGACTGTGACATTAGCTTTGTTGTGGTAGTCTGGCACTGAGCCTGCTGGCTCTCTGAGGAGTGCCTGCATGTTTTCCCTCCAGCTTCACACAAAATAGGTAGTTTTTTGATGGTTGAAGACCAAACTTAAGATGTCTAATTGTCAATATCTAAGTTTTCTACTTGTTGAAAACTTGAATTGGCCCTGCCTTCTTACAGAATCAGAGCTGAGAAACTTTGGAGTCACCTCTGTAATGTCCTTTCATTCACTATATTCAGTCTGCCGTCAGTTAAACAGCTGTTCTTTCAAATTGCTTCTGAATTTACCTTCTCTCTCCCAATGTCCTCACTAACTCCAGTTGCAAAGATATAGCTGCCAAATTCCTGTTCCGAAACACTACACATATACTGTATTATGTTCACAAAAAAATAGTGCCTTTCTATGGTTTACACTCTGAGTCTCAGCCTATCTTTGCTGTTCTTCCCACATGCTCTGTAACCTCATTTCCTATTCCTGTGCGCCACCTCCAAATACTACTTCTGTTTCCCACAGCTCTGTTCTCCAAATTCACTCTCACTTCCACCTGATGGCTAATGAAGTTCTCCTCTGTAGTGGGTTGAATGGTGTCCCTTAAAATATGCCTACCTCCTAATCCCTATAATCTGAATATTAATTTCTTTATGGCAAAAGAGTGAGTATTATGGTATAGAGCAAAAGCTAAGATTAAGTCAGGATCGTAAGAGGAGGAGTTTATCCTGGGTTATCCAGGTGAGCCCTAAATGCAACAAGAAGTAACTCTGTGAGTGGAAAAGGAGATTTGACATAGACACAGAGGCATGAAGGAGGCCATGTGACCAAGGAAGCAGAGATTGACCATATGCTGCCACAAGCCATGGAGTTGTAAAGATTGACACCAAGCACCAAAGTACAGAAGAGGCAAGCAATGGCGTCGCCCCTACAGCCTCAGGAGAGAGGATAGTCCTGATGGCATCTTTACTTCAAACTTCTAGCTTCCAGAACTGTGAGAGAAATTTCATTGTTTGAGGGTACCCACTTTGTGGTCATTTATTATAGTAGCCCTAGGAAACTAATACGCTTCCTCCAGGAATGCCCTTAGATGCATCAATCTGGCTTCCCTCATAATAACTCTATATCTTACCTGGGACAAAAAGAATGGCTCCAACGATGACAACTATAGTGAGCACTAGTCCAGCAACGAATAAAAGAATGGCTTTCTCCTTTGTGTGACTGGATTTATATTTAAGTGCTTAAAAAAAAAAAGAATTATATGAACTTAATCACAAGAAATAAAGTCAATTCTATAACGTATAAAGTGTACAAACCAACTGTTAACTTACTAATTGAATAATCTTTGAAGAACAATTCCTTCACATCATGTTAAATCACATCAATTCTTTTTCATAACAAGGCAGTGGCTTAATAATGTCATGGTAGTAGGAATATGGATGCTAAATTTAGAGGTGATGCCTTATTCCCATTATACTTTAAAGAATGATGTTTATATATATCAGGATTTCTCGACTGAGGTATTATTAACACTTTGGGCCAGATAATCCTATTTGGGTGTTCTCTTCATTACAGAATGTTCAGTAGCATTCCTGGGCTCTACACATCAGATGCTAGTAATGGGCCCCAGTTGTGCAAAAATGTCCCTAGGTATTATCAAATATGCCCAGAGGAGTAAAACTACTTCAGGTTTACAAGAGATATACATAACACTGATGGGAAATGAGTGGTTCATTAGCAATCTCTAAAAAACGAAATAAGTGGTCCACTTTTTATGAAATTTTAAAGTGTATGGAAATCTAGATATTTTGTAGTGAAAGAGTAGAATAAACATTGGACAAGTCAAATCTTCTTGAAATCCTAATTTGGGGTCAGGGTGGTGGTGGTGGTGGTGGTAAATGCTTAAATTGTTCAGCTAAAATAATTTCATGAAAATAAACTAGAAATACTCAACAGAACTCATTATACATGTTGCTGATTTTGATCTAGATCTACTGTTAAGTACCCAACATTTCCCTGAAAGAAAAATGTAATGGATAAACCTAAAAAAATATGTTCCTTTAAATACATATTCACCTTTGGGGTTTTGTTTTGGTTGATATTATATATAATTTTTCACCAACAAAGTTGTTAAAAGTAAATTCCAAGCAGACTGAGTAGCAGAGAGAGATGATGCACGATTGCAATTCTGCTGTGTTTCATCTACACATGATATTCTCTGTGCCACTAACCAACTGGTGACTATCAGGAGGGCAAATTTTTTAAAAGTTATATTTAGCATTTAATTGGCTTCCACTAAAATGACAAATATACCAAATATAGTAAAGACAAGCCTTAAGTGACCATGATAAAACTCTGTTAAGGTATTATACCTTAAGGTTATATAATAATCTATGGTTAAGGTATTTAAGGTAAAATATAGATACCTATTTTTTTTTAAATCTCTATCTACTCAAACTGTAAATTGTAACCTCAGCATTATTCTCTTTAAGGGGATATGAAGAGTTACACAATAATCAGCTCTGAAGCTGAGTAACTGAAATCCATATTTATCATAAAAGAGAGAGAACCAATGTGGCAGGTTCCCCATGCTTTCATTTGATCCTTCCAGCCTTGGAAATTATTTGACTATGACTCAGCCACGTCCCTGCCTTCTTACAGGGCACAGATTTTTATAGCTATCCTATTTTCTAGGTTCATATAGTAGCTAAGAGGAAATTCAGTGTATAGGTTACAAAAGGCACAGCCACAGAAAAAAAAGAAATTTTTCTAGACATATGTCAGGTTTTTCATTTTAATTCCATGTATACTGTTATCTAAATAGAGCTTGAAAGTTCTGCAAAAGGGTTATAAAATAGAAGCTGTTTCAAATGTACCTCACAATCAATCAACCACTCATAAGAGACTCTTCTAGTTTTAATTCAATACATAAAAAAGCTACTGAGATCAAGCAGCAAAAATTCACCTTATAATATAGCAGACGTTCATACAAAAAGACTGACATACCATCCTTAACAAAAATAAGAGTTTGAACCTCATATAAAATTCAGCCTCTTCAGGCTTAGAAGAGGTGTAGCAGAAAAATAATGCCAACAATAGCAACAAAATAATGCCAATAATAGCAACAAAAATAAAATACCGTAAGACACTACTATTGAAAAATAACCTTTTCAAAAAACCTTCACATAAAAATACACTACATGTTGTAGGTAGTTTATTTTTTGTAGATTAGCTCAACTACTGCTTATTTTTAAGGCTACATAAATTCTTCCTTAAATTAAGCAAACATCTCTAACAAATATATTAGTGAGTTCTACTTAACAACAGGTAAGTAAAGTATCTTTCCATGTTTTCTTTAATGAACCTTTAAAAAGTTTCTTTCGGCAAATTTCTTTGCTGACAATGACATTTTCGCAGGCCCCACAGCAAGCATGGAAACAGCATCTTGTTGCTAGGCCAGCTGACCATTATTTGAGTGAAGCTAGAGGGTCAGTGACCCGGTATAGATACCATAGAACCCAATCACATCAAAGATTTTTTTTTTTTAAGATTTATTTATTTTTATACAAGAACTGGGGTACAAGGTGTGGGAGGGTGAGAGGATTCACCAGAGACAGAGCGGGGAGCAGAATAGGCAGACGAACCGAAATATACTGCTGAGGGGAGCAGTGGGTGAGATAGGAGAGGTCTGCCGTGCCATGTGGGTATCTCCCTGGCTGGCTAGGATTGAACCCACGCTGTAGAGGCTGCGGACAGCTTCACAGCGCTGTGCTCAACCTGCTGTGCCACCTGGGAGGCCCTCAAAGATCTTTTACTGGTGGTGTTTTCTTGTACATGTATCCTTATTTATGAAACCTACCAAAACTTTATATATATGAAAGAGAAATAAATTCAAGTAATTTCCCAAACACTTAGCATTAAGATAAAGATAATTTAACAGCAGCAGGCTCTATAAAACTTCCTGGTATGATTTTTCTATCTGCTTGGCAAACAATCTATATAATTTTTAAAATACTGCATGCTTTAGAAAAGCACCTTCAGCAAAAAGTACTGAAATCAATACACAAAATGAAATAGGAGAAATAACAGTATTTGTACTTTTCAAAACATAGTTTTACATTTACAACAAAATGGAGAGGGAGGTACAGATCGCAATTTTTTAAAAACCAGGATGAACCTATATTGACACTCATAATCATTCAAATGTCATAGTTCACCTGGTTTAATCTTGGTATTATATATTCTATGGGTTTGGACAAATGTATAATGACAAGCCCATTAATATAATACAAGAGAATTTTCACTGCCCTAAAGAGTTTCTATGCTCTACCTGTCTCCTCCTCCCACCCCTCTGCTAGCATTAGGATAAAGTAGACCACATCTTTTATTGTTTCCACAGTTTTGACTTGTCCAGAATGTCTTATAGTTGCAATTGTATAGTATGCAGCTTTTCAGACTGGCTTCTTTCAGTTAGTAATATGTATCTAAGGCTCCACCTCCATGTTTTTTTTTTCATGGCTTGATAGCTCATTTCTTTCTAGCACTAAATAATATTCCATTGTTTGGATATACCACAGCTTGTTTATCCATTTGCCTACTAAAGGACATCTTGGTTGCTTCTACACTTAGCAATTTGTGAATGAAGCTGCTATAAACATCCCTGTACAGATTTCTGTTTGGACATAAGTTTTCAGCTCTATTTGGGTAAATACCAAAGAGCACAATTGCTGGATCATATGGAAAGAGTATATGTTTAGTTTTATAACAAATTGCTAACTGTCTTCCAAAGTGGCTGTACCATTTTGCATTCTTACCAACAATATATGAGTGTTCTGGTTGTTCCACAATCTCTCTAGCATTTGGTGTTGTTCATATTTACTTTTTCAACAAAAATTTTCTTTCTGTTGCATGACACAGGAAAAACAAATATATGAGCAGACAAAAACTTATTTTTGTCAACAAATTAGGAATTCTAAAATTTCCCCTTCTCTATTGTCTGTAAAATAATTAAATCTAGCCAGCTTCTCAGAAACAAGTTAGGTTTGGTTCATTCATTTGCTCTACAAATATTTTCTGTATGCCTACAATGAATCAGGCACATTTATCAGTCCAAATCATACCACCTAAATCAAGGTACAAGTAGATTTCTTTATTCACTAATAATTGAGTACCACACAGAAATCACTTTTCTAAGTGTTGGCAATGAACAAAGAAAATACTCCTACCTCATAGCCCTTATCTTCCTCTGTGTGTGTGTGTGTGTGTGTGTGTGTTGGGGGATGGGGACAGAAGAGAGTGATTAGACGTATACTCCCCTCTCTCTGATCTTCTTCCCCAGTTAAATAAAAGATGTGGTCTACTTTATCCTGAGATACATAAAGATATGCTTTATGTATTTAATCTTTCAAATGCATGTGAATGAAGAGGTGACATGTCCCTCTAGCCACCTGAAGAAACAGCTAATGTTCTGAATAAATTTTCTCATCTTGTGACTGTAATACAGAATGAACTTTGTGGTGGAAGAAAATAGTGAAATTACCAAGACAATTAGGAGATCAATAAAAATCTATCATCTTAGTTTTCATGATATTCCAAGAAGGGACTGATAAGTCCATATAGGCCCATACCACAAAAACCAAAAGTCAAAGAAATCAATGCCTCCTCAAAGACATGACATTTAGAGGGTCCCTTGCTAAATAATCTGTAAATTAGTGGTAAGACAGAAGGGCTAATAAGTGAGGCATAATGCATATCAAATCAAGAATAAATCATAAAGGCAAACATGTTTTATTTTATTGTTACAGAGCTATTTTCTGATAACTCTAGGAAAGTAATTTGAGAATCTTTTTGGTATCTATTGAGCGACACATCAATATTGCCTTTGATACAGAATAAAGCACATCTGATAACTTTTCAAATGAAATTATAATTTCAAATTTTTAATTATTTAAATTTAAATTACTATTTTAAAAATATTTAACATGCTCATTAAAAAAACAATGAAGGCTTTGTGAAACTAATGCTAGAGAAAAATGAATATTAATGCCAATTATAAATGGAATACCTGCCAGAAGGCAAGTAAAGTAATTTATAATAAACTCTATATACTATCCAACTTGTTTTTGATGAAACATCTTTATCAAAATGAATATTGGTAGAAATCACACTCTTAGCCTAAAAGACCCAGAAATAAAAGAGCCCAGGCTTTGTATAGCAAGTGCTTTGAATATAAAAGATTAA